GATTATGTTATTCAACAATAAACACTGGCCTCTAATTTTTAGTTATTATGCAGAACCACACAAATCCATCCAAGAGATTGCAAGATCTTTGGTGGGTTCTGTTCTATCTATGCAGGTATGGGTTCTACAACTTATGCATACCATGTTTTTCTTTTTCTCCCCCCTTTATTTTTCTTTTTTATATCCTTTCTTGATGCTAGGTTAAGTTGCTAATTTTTCAATGGAACTCCTTTATGCCACGACTTGTGTTTTTTTTTTTTTTTTTTTTTTTTTTTTTCCCTAGTTTTTAAAGCCACGAGTACTTTTTTTGTTTTTGGATAATTCATGAGTTAGAAGTATGGAATTTTATATGCTTTCATTTAATACTTTTCTGCTACATGTCATACATAGAAATCAAAAACGTGTTCATTGATTAATTAGACAAGCACAACAGTCTATTAATAGTACTAAATTCTCAAATACTCAAAATAAAATTTAATTTCAGGTCTCCAGTTACTCGAATTTCAAAATATTACTTATTAAGCTGACACGACAGGAGTAAAATCAATTTTTGTCTTGAATATGTCATACCGGTAATGGAAAATGTTGAAATGATTCTTTGCTGTTATTATTCAATGGTATTTCACCAAGAATAGTTAATTAAACTGATTTTTTACTAAAGTCGAAACTATATAAAATATTATCTGTTTCTGCTAGTATTATTATGGTTATTAATGTACTTCGTCGATTATCCTCGGGCAACTTAGTTGAGTGAATGCGTGAGTTTGCGTTAGTTAAATGTAATTTATATGGAAGTTTTGTTGTTTGGTTATGCTTGAGTTTGTATTGGTTAAATGTAATTAATATGGATGTTTCGTTGGGTTCCCGGATAATGTCCCCTTTGGAAAACCTTACAAAGTTGAATGGTTCGAAATAAATGTTATTCATTGTTAGTTGGTTTTCTTATGACTTCCTCGTATCTTTTGTCGTGTGTTCTTTTATATTTGTGTGCTAGATGTCGAATTGACAGGAACTTCCAAAGGTTATTTGGTTACATTGCTTGTAGATCTTTTTGTGTATTAAGTTAATACGGATTTGATATTGTTGTTTGTCATTCTCTGAACTAGCACGGGTTATCTAGCATTTTTCTGTGCATCGCACGGTTTAACAATTCTAAAGTTGTATTTATAAAATAGGGTATACCACACCCAATTTATCTTCTATTAATATTTTCATTATTTTGTCTCCATAAACTATCCATGAGCGTTATCACTTTTGAATTGTTTGAAGTTACATAATTATTAATATGTGTAGAAACACATAACATTTATTCATCTAACATATTTCATCCAATTAATATGTGTCAAAATACCTAAAATGTTTTATAATGTCCTCGAAAAATATGTAAAGGCACCTAAAATATTCTATATTATTCTAAAAAAACATAACTAAAATTATGTATTAAAGGAGGTCGATTAATTATTAGTTATTTATAATATCCTACAAATCAAATTTAATGTCGTGGAAATTATATGTGTCTCAATATGACTCTATGAAAAAATGGGGCTGAGGTTTAGATAATGACCGGACAATCTAGAATTTAAGTGGCAAATAATGTGGCTACGGATGGTTATCTAAAATTCTGGAATGTAATATTTATTTTATTATTCTTAACTTATTTGCAGATATAAAAAAAAAAAAAGGAAAAATTTGAGAATAATTTTAATGTTAACTACCAAATTCAGTTTTTGGAATTCAGAATGATGTGATCCATTTTCCCTAATTACTGCTTTATAAATTTAAGAATTTTGAAAATGCGAGTAAATAAAAAAAAATTATTCTAACAACCTTCTTTTATTAGTAATCTTTATGTTTTGGTGGGAAATTACATACTATTATATTGTAATCCTTACTCTTTTTATATATTAATATATTTGGCTTTTATAGTATTTTGGCTACTCAATGTTGTATTCTTGTATAAGTGACTTCTTGCGCTGCAAACTGAAATCTGCATGATTCTCCAATGGATTAAATTTAACGTACTTTTCAAGATAATTTGTAAGTAAGGCAAATGCATCTGCATAGTTTCTCTGAGTTGTGGATTCTTTCTAGAGAAGCTGACACTCGAGCAGCCCAAGTAATTAACCAAATGACTACTGAATTGGTAATAGGTTTTTATTGACACAACTGTTGTAATACTGATGTCTTGTTCTTTCAGTGTTACAACTTACAACTATGCTACTGAGTGTGATATCCTCAAATATGGCTTCTCATGATAGTTACCAGTAAATCCTTCTTGGGGGAAAAGAAGGGAAAAAAAAAAAAAATCAGTAAACAACATTTAAATTCTCGTTTAGGTGATCGTAGCAGATGAGGAGCAAAGGAGGTTGATATTCTCAGAAAAGAAGCTCAGCTGGTCAAAGTTCTCTCCTCAACTGGAGTTAGGAGACATTTATTATGGCAGGGTAGGAGCTGTGATGGATTTTGGTGCCCTTGTTCATCTCCGTTTTCCAGATGGTATACTTAGCAAATTTGGTGTAGCGAGTGTTGGCACGACAAATACTTACACATATCTATGGGTTATGGATTACTGGTTTAATACGCAGGCTAGGTCAAAATCAGGTCTGACCCGAATATTACGAATTTAAGATTGGTGGGTGAAGATTTAGTTTGAAATGATACAATTGACTTATTTGACCACATTATGATGTTATTATGTCAGTTGCAAGATGCCAAGATCCCTTTTTGTTGCTTATGTTGTTAAGTCTAATTATTTAAATGTAAAATGATCGAATTTAAAGTAGATATAATCTTCAAAGAGAAATTAGACGTATGACTCATTTTAGTAAAAAACTAAAGAAGTATTCGTTTCTTAAAATGGAGTTTGAAAAATGATAATCTGACACGGCCAGTTAAATGGGCAAAGTTAGACTGAGTTGAAAAATCTGGCACAGAGAATAAGGAGGTTATGCTGTATATCATAGAAATTACATCCCTGGTGCAAATTATCCGATATTGCAATCTCAGTCCTGAATATTTGCAGGGCTTTATCATCTCACTGGACTAGTGCATGTTTCAGAACTATCATGGGACTTCATCCTCCACGCGAGAGATTTCCTGGCTGTGGGTGATGAAGTGCGAGTCAAAATTGTGCATATAAATTGGTGACTGCAATATTCTACTCTAAAAATCCTATAAATATGTTCCTTCTACTCATTGATATTGCTATCATAGAGTTGCATGCAGGCCAATAAATTCTCGTGCTCACATATGTGGCTTCTTTCCTTAATTCAGACGAGTACGTTTATATGCACAAGTATGTACGGTTTATATTGACCGTTATCTTGCAGGGAAGAGTCAAATATCAAATTGTCCATAAAACAACTGACTGAAGATCCTCTTTTAGAAACTTTAGACAAATTTATTCCTCAGGTACCTGCGCTTCATTTTCGGTGCTTGAACAATTTTCTAACTGTCAGTGTACAGTCGAAACACTGATGCATGTATTATTATTACAGGATGTCTCAGCAGATCCCGATGCATTAGATGGAAGCGATCATTTTACCATAGAACCTCTTCCTGGGCTCGACACAATAATTGAAGAGCTATTGAAGGAAGATGGGTATGTTTGTAGTGAGAAAAATATGAATTCCCATATCTTTTGGTTTGGTATGGTTAATTTTGAAAAATGTGTTATGGTTTGGTTGTTAGTGGGATTTTGAGTTTATATTTAAATAATATTTAAAATAAAATAATCAAAATTGATTTGATGTAAAAGTAGAAGTAGAAGAGAGATGATGTGTAAGTGATGATTAGTTAAAATTATGTAAGTGGATGAATAGTGAATTAAAGTTAATGTAATGTATAAGAATGATTAAGATGTATTATATCAAGTAACAATCGAGCACATAGAGAAGAAAGATTGAAAGATTGCATTAAGAGAGAAAGAGAATCTCAGTCTTGTACAGAGAAGAGAGAAGGCGGAGAAAAATGAAAAGTGTGTAAAACTAAACTAGGGTTTACAAGGGAATGAGTATTTATACTAATGCTAAATAACTAAAGGTGCTAAAGAGGGAGTAGCACTTTTATTATAGGAATAACACAACTAATACAAAAGATATTTAAAGGTAAACATATATTATTCTATTACCCCCCGCAAGTGGAGCATGGATGTTGGGCATGCTCAACTTGGAGGTAAGGGCCTTGAAGGCAGGACCAGGGAGTGGTTTGGTGAGAAAATCTGCGAGTTGGTCTTTGGTGGGGATGTGAGACAGATTGATGAGTCCCTGGCCTATCTTCTCTCTTATTAAATGGCAGTCCAGCTCTATGTGTTTAGTCCTCTCATGGAACACAGGGTTGGAGGCCATAGCTAGTGCTGATTTGCTATCTGTGAACAGAGAAGCAGGTGTAGTAAGTGGAATACCAATTTCAGAGCATAGAGATATTAGCCATTGAATTTCACAAGCTGTGAGGGCAAGGGCCCTATACTCAGCTTCTGCTGAGGACCTACTTATAGTAGGTTGTTTCTTACTTTTCCATGAAATTAAAGAGTTACCAAGAAATATCAAAAAACCAGTAACACTTCTTCTTGTATCAATGCAAGAGGCCCAATCACTATCAGAGTAGGCAGATAATTGTAAAGTAGATGATCTGGGAAAGAGAATACCTTGGCCAAGTGTTCCTTTGACATACCTGAGCACTCTGTAAGCAGCTTGAAGATGATATTGTGATGGACTAGATAAGAATTGACTTAATGATTGAACTGAAAATGCAATGTCAGGTCTACTGATGGTCAAATAAAGTAGCCTGCCTACAAGTCTTCTGTATTCAGAAGGATTATCAAGCAAAGGAGAATTATCATTTTTGCTTAATTTAACTGAAGAATCCATGGGAGTATTTGCTGGCTTACAGCCCAATAAACCAGTGTCAGTAATTATATCTAGAGTATACTTTCTTTGACACATATGTATCCCTTTTTCAGAGTGAGCAAACTCTAAGCCTAAAATATACTTGAGTTGACCCAAGTCTTTGATTGTAAAACATGTATCCAGATGAGATTTAATAGCATTTAACTGACAGATATCATTACCAGTCAAAATTATGTCATCCACATAAACTAAGAGAATAATGACAGAGCTGGAATTATGCATGTAAAACAGAGAACAATCTGCAATTGATTGAGTAAAACCATAAGCAAGAAGGCAGGATGTTAACTTTTGAAACCATTGTCTAGATGCTTGTTTTAATCCATATAAACTCTTAGTCAATTTGCATACTTGAGAAGAAGAAGCTGTGCAATAACCAGGTGGAGGTGTCATGTACACCTCCTCATTTAAGTCACCATGAAGGAATGCATTATTTACATCTAGTTGATGAACATGCCATTTCATGATGGATGCAAGTGCAACAAGGAATCTAACAGTAGAAATTTTTGCAACTGGTGAGAAAGTGTCAAAATAGTCAATTCCTTCTTCTTGAGTGTAACCTTTGGCAACTAATCTGGCTTTATACCTTTCTATAGTGCCATCAGATTTATATTTGATTTTGAAAACCCATTTGCAACCAATACAATGTTTGCCCTTTGGTAAATCAGTTAAAATCCATGTTTTTGTTTGTTCTAGGGCATTCAGTTCTTTATTCATAGCTTCAACCCATAAAGGATCTTTTGCAGCTTGTTTATATGTGCTTGGTTCAGAAACAGTACTGATGGATGCAGTAAAACAACTATGAGAAGAAGATAACATATCAGTGGACAAATAGTCAGAAATTGAGTAAGGTGATGTTCCAGGAATGTTAGGGAGTGTGTTTGAAGAGCAGGAAGCAGCATGATGATTCAAGGAATGTTTATAAATGTCCAAATAGGCTGGGATTTTATGTATTCTGGATGATCTTCTTCTTTGTTGAGGAGAATGTAAAACTGGAGAGTTATCTGGGGGTTGAGAACATGTATGTTGAGTATGTGATGTGGGAATATCAGTTGTTGTAGGTTGAACAGGAGAGGGTGGAGTATTTTGAGTTGGGGAATGAATAACTGAGGAATCAGTATGGTTGTTGTGAGATGAAAGAGAATTATCATCAAAGTCAAATATAGATTCAGGATGTGGGAAAAGAAGATTAGAAGTATTAGATGGGGATGACTGAGCAAAGGGAAACACATTTTCATAAAATATGACATTCCTGGAAATTAATGTCTTCTTGGTATCCAAGTTATAAAGTTTGTATCCTTTACAACCAAGTGGATAACCAAGAAAAATGCACTTAGATGCTCTAGCATCAAATTTATGTCTATTAGCAATCAGAGTTGATGCATAACATAAGCAGCCAATAACCTTCATGTGATCATAAGTAGGCAGTTTGTTAAAGAGCATTTCAAAAGGGGATTTGTTTTGTAAAACAGGGGTGGGAACTCTATTTATAATGTGGGCAGCAGCTAACACACAATCAATCCAGAAATGCAATGGAAGGTTGGCATGAAATAAAAGAGCTCTTGCAACTTGTAAAAGATGCTGGTGTTTCCTTTCTACTCTAGCATTTTGTTGAGGTGTTTCAACACATGATGTTTGATGCAAAATGCCATGATCAGAATAGAATTGTTTGAGAATGAACTCAGTACCATTATCAGTTCTTATGATTTTTATTTTTCTATCAAACTGAGTTAACACCATGTTGTAGAAATGAATGAAATGATTTTTGATGTCAGATTTCATGAGAACAGGATAAATCCAAGTAAGTCTGCTATAATCATCCACAATAGTGAGAAAGTACTTGTGACCAGAGTATGAGGGAATTGAGAAAGGACCCCAAACATCACAATGCAATAAATCAAAGGGATGATCAGCAACAGAATGACTTTCAGTAAAAGGTAATCGTTTTTGTCTTGAGAAATGACATACATCACATGGGATTGAACCCTTATTGAGTAAATGAGGAATAGGTAGAGTTTGAAGTTTGGAATATGACAAGTGACCCAGTCTATTATGCCACAAAGAGGAATCAGAGGTTGGTTTTGTTACAGGTAAATTGGGGGTTACATGGTTAACAGCAGATACATTTGAATGAGAAAAAATATCAGAATCTATGTTGAGATGATATAATCCTCCTCTATGATCAGCAGAACCAATCATTTTGAGGTTTGTCAGGTCCTGTATTATGCAAGAAGAAGACAGGAATTTGACAATGCAGTTACAGGTAGCAGCCAATTTTGAAACAGATATTAAGTTAAAAGCAAAAGATGGGACATATAATGCATCAGATAATATGATAGAGTCAGACAACTTTACATTCCCAATCATAGATGCAGAAGTATGATTACCATTTGGAAGATTTATTTGCACAGATACAGAATGAGCATTTGAGGTATAAAAATTAGGATTGCATATCATGTGATCTGTTGCACCAGTATCCAGAATCCAAGTTGTAGTGCATAAATTTCTAGTAACCATGCATGATAGAGGTGTAGTCATACCTGAAAGCTCAGCAAAAGCAGTAGCCACTACAAGAGGATCATGAGATGTAGTTTTCACCTCCTGAGATTTCTTAAAGGCTAAAAACTCATGAAATAAACTGTTAGTCATGGAAGATGCATCATCATGAGTAACAGAAGTGGGAGAAGGTGTATCAGATATAGCTGCATGAGCAGAATGCTGTTTTGAGGTTCTTTGACCCTTAGGTCCAACCCAATTGGGAGGGTAGCCAATGATTTGAAAGCATCTGTCAATGGTATGACCTAAAAGGCCACAGTGAGAGCATTTGGGACGATTTTTGTCTTTGTTGTATGTAGGATTGGGAGGTTTATTATGAAACTGTTTGTGTTGAGAGTTATGTTGGTAGGTGTGGGATGATTTAGCTAACATAGCAAGAGTGTCTGATGGTGTGGTGTTTGATAAGGTCCTCTGGCTTTCCTCTTGAAGTAGGAGTGAATAAATGGTAGTGAGAGGGGGCAGAGGTTTAGAAAGAAGGAAATGGCTTCGGAGAGAGGAGTAAGACTCATTTAATCCAATCAAAAACTTCATAACACAGTCATGCTGTTGAGCAGTAGCCATAGCCTCAAAAATTTTACAAGTACAATTGGCAAATACACCACAGACACACTTGATAATAGGACGATAAGTAACATATTCATCCCACAGAGACTTAAAACTGGTGTAATACTGAGTAATAGACATAGTTCCCTGATCTATTGTGCTCAATGATTTTTCTAGGTGAAAAACCCTTGGGCCACTAGACAAAGCATAACGAGACCGAATTTCTTCCCAAACATCTTGAGCGACAGTAAAAAAACAAAAGAGATTGTCTTATATCTTTGTTTACAGAGTTCAATAACCACGATAAGACTAGATTATTCGCTCTAACCCAAGCAAGAGACAGATTAGGGTTATCAGTGGGATTAGGAACAGACACAGTACCGTCGACAAAGCCGATTTTGTTCTTGACGCTGAGGGCCATGGAAACAGCACGGGACCACGACACGTAATTGTCGCCGTTGAACAGCTCGGCGACGATCAGCGCACCAGGATTGTCGCTGGCATGCAAAAAATATGGAGACGTCGGATCTTCGGACGGATTCACGGTAGTCATTGTCTAAATCGCTCAAATATGTAACAGATCTGATTAAAAAAACAGTGAATCGAATATAACAGAGAACGATCTGAAAATCGTATGAGAACGATCGATCACAAAAAAAAAAAAAAAATCAACAGATCAACGAGAAATTGGATCGAACAGCAGCGGAATAACAGGATCTATGCGACTGATACCATATCAAGTAACAATCGAGCACATAGAGAAGAAAGATTGAAAGATTGCATTAAGAGAGAAAGAGAATCTCAGTCTTGTACAGAGAAGAGAGAAGGCGGAGAAAAATGAAAAGTGTGTAAAACTAAACTAGGGTTTACAAGGGAATGAGTATTTATACTAATGCTAAATAACTAAAGGTGCTAAAGAGGGAGTAGCACTTTTATTATAGGAATAACACAACTAATACAAAAGATATTTAAAGATAAACATATATTATTCTTTTATATTATTTAATTATATTGATAATATTGAAGATAATGACGTTAGAGTTAAATTTAAATTAAAAGAAGTGATTGGTTAAAAATTTATCACTTTCATTCGATTTTGCCGCTTTTTTCCAATCTTCCTCGAGAACACGAAGGCTACCACCGGACCTTTGGGGGATCCTGACTTCGACGCAGCCTGGGCTAAGACAAATTTGTATCCAAGCATCCCCTGAGTTACTTGGACTTTGCTTGGATCAAGAAAACTTAACAAATTCTCACATGAATGCTTATTCTTTTATGTTCTTTCGTGCTTTTAAAAGGGTCAAATTCACCTGGCTCATGAGGTTTTGTAATTGCATTCCGTTCTAAAGTGCCTGTTTATATGCTTGATGCCCTTGAGATTTTTATTAGATGGTGTGAAGATCATTGGCCAAGGATATGAGAAAAGGGTATTTTCCCAGGATTTGCAGCTTTGGCTTTCAAATGTAATAACTCTAATACGTCATCTATAATAGACAAGGAGAAAATCATTATGCACTAAATCTCAGATCTTTCTTGTATACCATACAGGCACCAACTAGAGGAGATCAATACACCATTCTTGCTCGAGCGGGAAGACAGGCAACTTTTAACCATCAGATACTACTTTATTTTCCTTTTCTCTATCTCTATCTCGTTCTGAATATAAATTTGATGTTCAGGTGCAAGAAATACAACTCTCGACTTCACTTGATCAAGGTGGAATTAAGAGGGCTCTGCAGCTGGCGTTGGAACGCGTTCCATGAATTTCTACGTCCCGTTAGAGAAGTGTATCTACTGGTGTAACCATTTCGCATTTTGTTGGATTTAGATGTACATAATTCGGTAGTGAAGCACGTTTTAAGAGACTAGTAAAGTGCAGGTGCGATGCATGTGATGTATGATTGTTTTTTTTAGTAGATTATGTTTTTTTTTATGCGGTTAATTAATTTTTTTTTTTTTTCTTTTTTTGCATTATATTA